CACACATATCATCAAATTACTAACACTCACCAAAAATCACAGCAAAATTCCAAGAACATGATTTTTTATGATTTTTCAAAGTTTCTGCCCAGAATTTCAAATCCACGTTTGACATAGCTATAGATCTCATTTCGGCATGAAATTTTTACAGCACATAATATACCAATAGAGAACTCTACAGTGTAAATTTCAGAGCAATCGGACGAGCACATAATTTTATATGATTTTTATAAGAATCAACAGCAATACCCGATTCAACAACACATCAATGATCACATATTCATCTAAAACGTCCAAGGCCTGAACCATGAGGCCAAGGACTTCAAATGTTCCAATAATCCACAGCCCTAATCACGATTTAAGCGAAAATCACATTCGAACACAATTAACGAATAAATCACGAGATTAAAAAGCCACTTATCAAACCCTAACATGAAATTTCCCAACAAGGCTCATCACATAGCACATATATACTGAAAATAATAAAGGATTATCAGCCTTGTACCGATCTCGGGGAAATTTCATGGAAGGAGGTTCGAACGGGGCTGAGGGTGGTCGCGGGCACGCGGGGGAAGGGCCTAATGACGGATCGGGTGTTGCGTTCTCTCGACTTGTCTTGATCACGGCTTCGCCACGGCCTTGCTCTCGACGATAGGTGTGATCGACTCGGTTATTAGCCTAACTCTCTCACGATACTTGAGTTCACTCGGGTATTAGCCTCGCTACACTCTCGAAATAGATCGGGTCTTAGCCTCTCTAAATCGTTGAACTGGCTTGGGTCATAGCCTCACCAATTCGGTTGCATGATCGAATTCTCACGAACCCTAACACACGGTTTCGAACAAACGTTCTTTTCTATTTCATCAATTCCAAGACATCAAAAACAATGAGGGATGATCCCTATTTATAGATCCTAACTATGACTAATTCTAATCTACCTAGGAAACATATTAAAGCAATAAAATATTAAATCCTAACATCTTCTAAAGCAATAATGAAACTAAATATCCTACTACCATAAAATCCTAAATCTACTAGATCTCCTAATTGCTTGACTTGCACTCCAAGAACTTCTAGAAGCTCAAGTCACACGCCCAAAGCCACCTCCTCTTGCGCGCGCCGCCCGTCCGCTTTTCTATTCCTCGGCGCGCCCATGCATGCATGTCCTCTCGCCTCGAGGCTTAAGGCCTCGCGCCATGCATACGCCATTCCTATTCCTTGAAGGATAATGCTTCGAGCCCTTATCCACTATTCCTATTCCTACTAGGAATATGCTCCCGGTTACGTTTCCTGATCTTCCGAGGATTACTCCCGTCACCGATCTCCCACACGCGTTCCGGCACTCAACTGCTTTTCCTATTCCTGCGAGGATTAGTATTCGCGCCTTGCCTATTCCTACGAGGATTAGGCATGCCGCCTTATTCTTGAATTGTGCCTCGCGCGTGTCGCCGTGCGCCCCGCACTCGTCGCCTAGCACTCCTATTCCTACGCGGTCTAGGACATCACCCGCGTCGCCCCACGTGTCGCAGCCCATTGCCCGCGCGTCTCCGTGCATGCTACGCACACCCAGCATCCTGCGTACCACACCTCGCTCGTCTATCGCGCGCCTATGCACGCTCAGCACCGCCCGCGCATCGTCCAGCACCCAATACGCGCCCGTCCATCCGTAGCAATCTCTCGCACGCATCGACCACCCAACATCCACCCCTTGCGCGCCACTTCGCCAAACCATCAAGCGCCATGCGCGTCTACGCCAATGTGCGTGTGTGTACTTGTGCGCCTCGCATACGAGCTCGTACCCGTCTCTTAGGCCATGCGTGCGTCATTTTGGCTTTATTTTCAGCCTCCTCGGGTTGTCTTGGCTCTCGGCCCTTCTTGTCGTCGGGGGTCAAAACCCACTTACACATCATTCCCGCCCCCTTTGAGAATGTCCTTGTCCTCAAGGACTCATCCTCGACCATCCAAACATCGGGCACATCCTCTTCGACCATACGCACATACCAATCACGGTCCCCATCGACCTCGAGCATGATCTCTTCCTCGATGTCGACCACTTCGGCTCCACTAAATTTACCATATGGTTGTACGTCGAGTATAGGCGGGCCTAAGTAGTCGATCGCCACGTCCTCGTCCATGAACAAGTCGCCGAACGTAGGTGGTCCTTGGACTCGACTCGCTCGACTATGAACTCGGTTACTTCGTCTTCGACATAGCCTGGTAGATCGAACGTAAACATGGCCTCTTCGTTGACGAACCCCTCCATGATCTTGAGTTGCTTCTCTTCTAGATCTCTTCGCTCGTGCAACTCCTCCAAATACTCTTGCTCCCAAGGGGTTAATTCCCTCTTCAAACCTTCAAGATATTCAAGATCCTCCAAATCCATCTCATCCAATGGTATGAACCTCATGACTCTCTTCATATTTTTTTTTAAGACTCTAAAAAAATAATTCGAACCAAGTCGAACCAAAAAGAAAAGAAAAACAAAAGAAATTCGGCCCCTTCAACAAAAAGGTAATAACTGAAAAAAATCAAACAAAAGGACTAGATGACACTTTTTTTTTAAGACTCACGAATTATTTCGAAAATTAAGGGTAAAATTAGAAAAATTCGAACACAAAAGACTCAAAAAAATCGAACAAAAAATAAAAAGAATGGGATAGGAAAAGTTCACGAACACCCAATCGATCACTCTCAATGAAAGCACCAATGATGACGGATCGGGTGTTGCATTCCCTCGATTTGTCTCGATCACAGCTTCGCCTCGGCCTTGCTCTCGACGATAGGTGTGATCGACTCGGTTATTAGCCTAACTCTCTCACGATACTTGAGTTCACTCGGGTATTAGCCTCGCTACACTCTCGAAATAGATCGGGTCGTAGCCTCTCTAAATCGTTGAACTGGCTTGGGTCTTAGCCTCACCAATTCGGTTGCATGATTGAATTCTCACGAACCCTAACACGTGTCGAACAAACGTTCTTTTCTATTTCATCAATTCCAAGACATCAAAAACAATGAGGGATGATCCCTATTTATAGATCCTAACTATGACTAATTCTAATCTACCTAGGAAACATATTAAAGCAATAAAATATTAAATCCTAACATCTTCTAAAGCAATAAGGAAACTAAATATCCTACTACCATAAAATCCTAAATCTACTAGGTCTCCTAATTACTTGACTTGCACTCCAAGAACTTCTAGAAGCTCAAGTCACACGCCCAAAGCCACCTCCTCTTGCGCGCGCCGCCCGTCCGCTTTCCTATTCCTCGGTGCGCGAGGCATCGCGCGCCTCATCCGCCTATGCGTGCATGTCCTCTTGCCTCGAGGCTTAAGGCCTCGCGCCATGCATACGCCATTCCTATTCCTTGAAGGATAATGCTTCGAGCCCTTATCCACTATTTCTATTCCTACTAGGAATATGCTCCCGGTTACGTTTCCTGATCTTCCGAGGATTACTCCCGTCACCGATCTCCCACACGCGTTCCGGCACTCAACTGCTTTTTCTATTCCTGCGAGGATTAGTATTCGCGCCTTGCCTGTTCCTACGACGATTAGGCATGCCGCCTTATTCTTGAATTGTGCCTCGCGCGTGTCGCCGTGCGCCCCGCACTCGTCACCTAGCACTCCTATGCCTACGCGGTCTAGGACATCACCCGCGTCGCCCCACGTGTCGCAGCCCATTGCCCGCGCGTCTCCGTGCATGCTACGCACGCCCAGGATCCTGCGTACCACACCTCGCTCGTCTATCGCGCGCCTATGCACGCTCAGCACCGCCCGCGCATCGTCCAGCACCCAATACGCGCCCGTCCATCCGTAGCAATCTCTCGCGCGCATCGACCACCAAACATCCACCCCTTGCGTGCCACTTCGCCAAACCATCAAGCGCCATGCGCGTCTACGCCAATGCGCGTGTGCGCGCCCTTCTTGAATGCGCCCTTTCTTCTGTACTTGTGCGCCTCGGATACGAGCTCGTACCCGTCTCTTAGGCCATGCGTGCGTCATTTTGGCCCTATTTTCAGCCTCCTCGGGTTGTCTTGGCTCTCGGCCCTTCTTGTCGTCGGGGGTCAAAACCCACTTACGCATCAGGGCCTGCGGACGTCTACTGGGTGCTGACGGCTCTGCGGGGACGCTGGGCGGGCTTGCTGGCCTCGCGAGGGACGCTGGACGCCAAGGGGTGCACGATCCGCGACTCACAAACGGGTGATGGCAATGGTGCTGGCCCAGGACGGCGATGGTGCAAGCGGAGGGCGGCGATGAAAGCGAACGAAACGAAAAAAAAAAAGAAAAGGGGAGGGATCGAGGGAGAAGAGAGAATAGGAGAAAAAAATATGCTGGGGAAAAATTTGACGTAAGGAGAGAGTCCCAATCTCTTCCTCATATAGACTCCCTAAGGTATGGTAAGTCTCCAAGTTTAAGCACTTACCATAAACCTCACAAGGAGGGAAAAAGGAAGGGCTCCAAATTGATCCACTTACCAAACAAAGAAGAAAAAGAGAGGGATTAATCTCTCCCATAAATAGAGTCCTCAAGATATGGAAGAATCCCAAATTGATGTACTTGCCAAACTCAACTCCAAAGAAAAAGGAAAGACTCTATGATCACTCCACTTACTAAAAGCA